AAGCATCTTCTCTATTCATCTACAAGACTCATAAGAAGAGAAGAGCTATTTAAAAAAGAAAAAATGCAAATGGTCCTTAAACATATGAAAAGATGCTCAATTTCTCTCATAAAAGAAATGCAGTTAAAACTGCACTGAGATACTATTTCTCACCTATCGAACTGGCAAAAATCCAAAAGTCTGGCTATATGTTCCATTGGCAAGGCTGTGGGAAACTCATTATTCTATATTGCCAATGAGAATTTCAAAATGGTATAATCCCTATGGAGGTGAATTTGGCAACATCTAGCAAAATTACACATGCATTTACCTTCTGACCATGTAATCCCGTTTCTAGGAATCTATCCCAAAGATATAGGAGAAAAAATAGGAAAAGACTTATGCACAAGGCAATAGCACAATTTGTAGGAGCAGAAAACTAAAAGCAACCCAAATGGTTCATCAATAGAGAAGTAGTTGAATAAATACACTACCATACATCTATTCTAATAGTACCATGCAGCTAGAAAAAGGAATGCATAATATCCTTCCAGATAGCTGGCTCTAGGAGGAGTGTTAAGTACAAGAAGGTACAAGAAGTGAAGAAAGAATGTATAGCATGTAGTATGCTACCAATTATTCAAGAATGTTGAGGAGGGTACTAAATATAATATAAATTTACTTATTTTTTCATTATTTAAAATAGAAGGATATCCCAAGAAACTAAAGGGGAAAAGAAATCACCTATAGGAGTAGATGGGACAGGAATAGAAGCTGGATTTCTCTAAATACAGCTCTTTTGTAGATGTAATTTTGGAGCCATGTCTATATTTTACGTAGTTACAAAACAAAACAAAAAAATCTTTAAAGGTAATCACCAAACACTGAAAGCAAAATGGAGTAAATGAATCCACCTGTATACTGACACAGTGGCATGACCACACAAAGAATTATTTTAGATGACTTTATAACACAGTAATTTTAATATATGTCTCTAGTGGGATATATCCTAAGGGCCCTCAAAATAACTGCAAAAGTCTTAAATTATTTTCAGTAACCATATGGTAGCACTGATACTGCAATTCTGAGACTATTTTGCATGTACTAGGGACAAGGCAAATGAATTATTGTGCTGTATCACTGGTCACTAAAATTTTTAGAACAGGAAAAAGGAGCTGCAAGATCAAAGGCTAAACAAAAACTCTGTATGAATTTTACTTAGAAGTGTCAGCACGCACTCATGATATATTTTACCTGTTAAATGTATGATAAATAAATAAATGTGCATGTATTTCCTAGTTTAATCTGTCAGAGAGGCTTAGAAATAGTAACCAACCTAGTAGCAAGTGCTTCCACTGAGGTTTCTGAATGTCATTTCCCACTGGAAGGAACCAGGGTTTCTTGAAGAAATGGCTGATCACAGATCGGTGCAGGAAATGTACAAAATGAACCTGGGATGCCATGTCATTATCAGAGATCAAAAAATTGCTAAGGTCTATGCAGGTCATGTCAGAAGGTCTCAAGAGCCAGTATGAAGAGGCTAAAGATGGGGACAATTTGAATGTCAATAATAATGACTGCAAATGATTAAAATACGTCCATTTTGTTTAGTCCCATAAATTGAAAGTGGTTCGATTTTGGGGTATTATAACGATATTGTCATTATGGCTGAAAAGAGAGTCTTACTTTTAGAGATACATACTGAAATATTTACGGATAAGATAATAAAATTATCATATGGGATTGGTGTCAAAATAATCTGACAGAGAGGAAGTCGGTAACATATATATAAAACTTAGGTTGTCTGTGAGTTAACAGTTCTTTAAGCTGGGTGGTGGGTACTATTCCTTCTTCCTGAATAACTAATAGGGTATTCAAAGAGGTGAATTTAAATACAAGGTTTAATGAAAGGAAGCTTGGCAATTATTCTGAAAATCGGAAAGGCCTTGGCAAATGTCATATGTATATCACAAGGTGGAGTGCCAAGGCAAAGCAAACGTGTCCTGTGGGAGACTGAATGTTTATAAAATAGTGGTCATATCTATTCTAATTTCTCCTTCCATGCCTCACTGGTAAGGCACATTAGCGATTCCTATAAACATCTCCTAACAAAGAGGAGATAGTCATTACTGGCTGGCTCTCCCAGGTGAGAATACAGCCCAACATGATCTAGAAGCAGCCACCAAATGGGAAGGGGCTGTGGTGGCAGTAGCAGATGAAGTGGTAGAAGCACTGTGGGTAGAGGCTGACACCTAGATCTGGTCAGTGTCGTCATGGTGGGGCCCATTCCTATGGATATATGAACTCACAGGGTTCCAAGGCTTCCCCATGAACCTGTACAAGTGAAGATGCATGAAGAATGACATGCTGCCAACAAAAATGGGAAAGAAACCCTTTGGTGGGAAACAAGACTAAAATCTTACAAAGCTTATTTTTCCCTGGCATCATTTTAAGTTCTAAGTAGTAACATTAAAATCTCATTAAAAAAAAAAAAAAACGCCTATTTTTAAAGTAATTTTGAGCCCTATAAGGAGAGTACTGCTCTAATGAGAGTAGCCTGAACTATGAGACAAAGAGCAGAAGCTGTGGAAGAGGGAAGTTCTGAATCTTAAAACATAAAAGTAGGGTTGATATACCCTACTAGTTATTCATAATTGCAGCATTTTACTTTTTTTTCCCCCATGAAAAGCTAGAGTGGATAGCAGGGGTTCTCAAGGAAGGAGTGTATATCTCACAAGACACTGGAAGGAGTAAGTGCTACTATTTGTAAATGGCTTTAGGTGATTCTGAAGTACACTGTGCCCCAATTAGAGGACCACTCCCTTCTCGGTGGTCCCCGTAGGGTGACTGGCTGAGGCCTGTGTGCAGCCAAAATGCATCTGAGATCATCAATATAGAAAACTAGCCATTGTTATTTCAAATGCCCCTTTAAACTAAGCAGAGCTGCCATGTCAGACAAAGGATAGTGAAATCCCCCATGCTCTTCACGACTCACACCACCTCCCTGTCTGCCTGGCGTGGGGACAGCTCTGAGCTGTGAAGATGGTACGAGGAGGGCCAGAAGGGATCCCACTATAGGCCATCTACCAACAAGAGCACATCTATACTTGCCAACCTGCCCCACTGCTCCCATTCAGTTGAGGAACGATGACAGGCAGATGATTGCAGTGCTCTTTGCAGTCAAACTTGTGAGCATCAGAGGAAAGAGCTAGAAGAAAAGTGTTTGACCAGAAACCAAACACAATTCCTGCATCTCTGCAGTCTTCTTTCGTCCTCTGACAATGCCTGAGACCATTATGGCTTCCGATGATGCTGACGAGTTCACTTTGGACAGAAAAATGCAGACCCACAACAGCATCCCTCACTACAACTGATCCTGAGTTTCATCCCATAATGGCCTCTCATGCCAAACAGACCTGTTTCTTGGATAATTACGGTATCCACCTGTTCTTCCCCCCAATAAGAACGGGAGACCAATTTAAGTAGATGGTGCCTGCCATGTAGCGTGTTCAAGAACACAGTACACTGGGCTGGAATGAGTAGCCAAATGATACCAATGCTGTGACTATGGAGGTGGCTGGGTTTCTAAGATCCTTCTCAGTAAGGACACCTCTAACTATACAATCACATACACAGTGAGGCCTACAGTCTATAAGAAAACACAGGTAGCTGGTGCAAAGATGTATACTCCCTGCAGTCATCTATCACCACAGTTCCATACAGCCCACAGAATTAAAAGCCTTGATAATCTCAGGTAATGCCTGGGCAGTGTTAACTTTCAAATTACTTATAAGTCATGACAGAGAGTAACACTCATATTTAATAGTAAAAGTTACTTCTGTAACAAAGGTAAAACCAACTTATTTATTTTAGCTGAGCTCTAAAATTTCTCTGTACATTAGAATAATGTCTACTCCTGCTACTTGGCTAACATTATTGTTCCAAATTTCCCGAAGTACAGGATTACATTTAGGATACAGCAGGTATTAAGGAAACTTAGTCTTATGACCATTCCAAGAACTAGTGAACAATTTGTAAGTTACACTCTTTTCCATTCTAGTCGTCACTGTGTTTTCAGAACATGTGTCAATATGTTATGTGTCCCAGCATGGAGGGGACCTCGGAAGGAGAGGAGATATGGATCCCATCATAAAGGCAAATAATTCTCTTTTAGATGGTACACAGTAGGGGTACCTGAACATACAGAGTCCCTTTTCCAAGAAGCTGCAATAAAGACAGATTCAAGGATCTAGTCAGTCAAATTAGGATCTTTGTGGGGTAGGAAAAGTCACTACCAGTATCTAGAATGTCAAGACCTGGGATGGACTGTACATAATGCCAGACTAAATATGACCTAAAACAAAAACACAACACACCAGAGAACAACCAAATAGCAACTAAACCGAAATTAAAAATACTCTTCTGAAACATCAGTCAGACAGTATTTCCCACAGGATAACCTGAATTTCACAATGACAGTTCAGTTACTCTAGTCTTATTTAAATTACAGGCAGGCATTTTCTTGAGATGAACTTGGCTAAACAGTGCAAATATGGACTGATGTGTCCACGAAAAAGTAACACTCTAATGGCGAGCATACCATTCATATCCAATTAAAGGCCAAAATACCTCCATAGCCTTGGAAAGCATGAGCGTTGGATCAATATTCTACAGACTTCCCTGATCTTACCTACCATTAAATTAGAAAAGCCTTTGGTGTAAATGGCTTTGCCAGACTACTGTAAGCATTTCCACATAGCAAATCTGAATGCATCACTTGAACATTTTCAGTTCTTAACTCCTAGTGCAATATTTATATCCTTTTTTATCAGAATTATTATTTTGACTACTTCTAAAAATATAAGACTCCCCTATGTCACTCAGCCATAAAGCATTCAAAGCAACCAGGTTGTAGTCAAAGCTGATTAAGAAGTGGGTTAAGATGAATTAATGAGATAGTATAGTATCTGAAGATCAAATATCTAGGCATATATTTTAAAAAATGTAATTGCGATACTTACCTATTAGCCCTTTCTCGAGAGTGAAGGTTTTGTTTGTAAACATACATTCAAAAGCCACAATGTGAAAAATCTTGTTCACTGTGTTGTGGGTTCCAACTATTCGAATATACCTGGGGGTAAAGAGAACATTTGTTGAAGAAAATGAGCTTTCATCACAACCAATCCAAAGACAATAGAATAAGATACTGCAAACATGCAGAGTACCACGGCATGGACTAAGGGAGATCAACCTGACTTCGGACCTTCTATCTGCTCCTGAGGGTTAGCTCCAACTGAGCCTGGAAGAATTACAGCAAAATTGGGGAGATACCATTTTCCGGAGAATGAAGCAGAACTTAGATCTGATTCACCTAGAAAATCAAACCAGGTACTGATCAAGCTCAGCCCCTGAATGTCAGTATAATTCTATGTCTGTGAGACATTTACGCTGGAGAATAATGCCTCCTATCCTCATTTTGTGGTTAGGAATCTGCCTGTGCACAGGTGCACAAACACTCGCCAAATCAAATGTTTTCCAATTCAAGGAAAGATTTCATCCATTGGAGACAAATGCATGAAATCAATATTGCCTTCTTGTTTAACAGAAAAATCCACAGAAACTACTAAAAACCACTCCGAGTTTTTTGTATTTCAACAGTGCTCCTACATCCTTGTACAAAGTTAACCCCATATACGGATGCCAGCTCCCCCACTCCGGCTCCAACCTCTCCCCCCACCCTACCCCACCCCACCCCCACCCCACTTGGCTGCTGGGAAGCGTTCTCCTGATCAGAGGAAGTGATCTGCAGAGGTGATACAGTCTACTCCGCAGCCTCCCTCCTGGCCACACGGATCTGGCATCTGCACACAGTGCAGAGTTTCACAGGGCAGGTCTTGAGCATCCCGACCTATTCACCCTGTGTATCTCCCTGGAGGCTTCACCTCCTACAAACAAGCATTAACCTTGGAGTGACTTGTTCCTTTCACTCTCCAAAGAGACCTGACAGTTCACAGGTTAATGAACAGACAAACTCATTCTTCTGAGTGTCACACAAATTGCTGGGGAATGTGCCACACACTGTCTTACTGGGATTCAAAGGAAGAACCAGGAAAAAAATAACTAGATTAAGTGATAACATTCTCCCAAATTATGAGCTGTGTGCTCTGAAGGATGGGGTATATTAAATGAACACATTTCAATTAGGAGATGACAGACTGGGCAAGGTTTTAGTAATATCCTTCCTCTGCTGTGTAAAACAACCTTCGACTTCAATGATATAATTTTACTTCTGAGCTAATTGCTGTTCACTAATTTGATAATTCCCTTACATTTCTCATCACTCCAAGTTAACTGTGTAATGTAAATGCCAATTTTTAAAAAAAAGTCACATTAAGGAGACTATATTTGGGGTTTTTATATCATGAGCTATTTTCCCTCCTGTTCCATCAAGCATGAATCTCACAGCATTCTGGGTGCACCTCATTTAGCCATCTGCTCCTTGGCATGAGCTGGTCACTCATCTTCATAACCAATATAAATGCTACCTCCTGGGCTGGCTGCTCAGTGTGCCCATGCCCACTGCAGGGAGACACCATTCTTCCTGTATGGAGAGTCAGGGCCACCACTGCACTCATCAGAGCCCTCTGGTTAAAGCAGGAGGTTGGCCTTGATCTATTCTCTCGAGCCCTCATTGGCAGAGACAAGGTACTGATGCTACTGGGTTTGGGTGGGTAGGTGGGGTTCGTGTAAAATAAGTTCTATATGGCCTGTGCGGAACTGGAGTTGTGCTGTTCTTTACTCGTGGCGCTGACAGTCTCTACAGACTTTCTGGAAGGGAAGGGGTGTGTTAAAGCCTGGCACATTGGCCTGAATCTAATTTTGTCCATTTTCTTAAACCCACAGGAACACAACCAGCATAGCATTTTCAACTGCTCATGGCCATGACAGCCTGAGTGCTGCTGTCTGTAACCTTGGAGGGAATGGAGGGAATGTGGTTTGGGGAATTTGATCAGATCATTTTCCTGTTCCCTAGGTCGAGTCTCCACCAAAGCAGAGGCAGCTCTCCTAATGCTGTGCGAGGTAGAGGAACCTGGAAGTGGCTGAGAGAGTCCTCCATTGGCCGTTCTTTTTTTTTTTAGATTTATTTGTTTGTTTATTTGAGAGACACACGGGGGGGGGGGCAGAGAGAGAGAGAGAGAGAGGGAGAGGGAAGGTGAGAGAGGGAGAGAGGGAGGGAGAGAGAGAGGCAGAGACAAAGAGGGAGAAGCAGACTCCCTGCAAGGAGCTCAATGTGGGACTCCATCCCGACCCCGGCATCACACCATGAGCAGAAGGCAGATGCTCAACCACTGAGCCACCCAGGCGGGAGTCCCCATTGTCAGTTCTTAAGGTTAATAGTCCAGGATGACCTAAGGGAATGCTGTAATGTTACCTCCCTCCCTTTCTTCCTTTCTTAAAACATTATGTTGAACCAGGTTCTTCAACTTTAGATAGTACTCATTTCCCAAATTTAACCCTGGCCCAAATATCAAAAATGGGAGAAAATATGCAACCTTTCTCTCCGTCATCCCCCAATTATAAGAAACTAAAAACAGAAAATTGTACTGGAATACATTTTACAGCCTTAATGATAGTGCTTGTGATAACAAACAAGATAATATATATGGTTGGAAAAGCACTGAGACTGCTTCCAGATAAAAAGTTCTCTATAAATGAAGATAATGTTATCTCTGCTGCATAATCCCGAGGTCAAATTAGCAATTCACCACTGTACATCACACTTCTTGATTAGCCTGTTATACGTAATGCTCCTAACAAGTTTAATTATTCTGGGTCTACAATACTTTCTAAGTCTCCACAAAATTATAGCATAATTTACAAAAATGGCATGAAGTCTTTATTCAAATATGCATTTTTTTTAAAAAAATGGTAACAAAGTCACAAGAAAGACACCATGCTCCTCTTTCCCAGCAAGGAGTGGTTTAGCACAGGACTCTGCACTAGAAGAAGAAAGATCTGCACTAGAAGAAGAAAATAGGCTTCCATAAATCTCCCAATTTCGGTGACCGGTAAGGGAACCTGGAGCTCTACGCTGAGAACTCAAGAGGCTCGGACCCATGAACGGTGCCTAGAGGGAGAGAGGCTGACATGGACTCATCATGGACGATGAGCAGGGTTCCTTCATGGCACTCACAATGGAGCATCCTTGAGGCTGAAGAGAAGTTTTTGTTGCCCGAGCTATTGAAAATCCAAGGGATGGGGATGGGAGAGGGTCCTCTCTCTCTCTCTCTTTTTTTTTTTTTTTTTTGCAAAACAAAGCAAAACTCGCTTCTGGGTTGTAATACCTAAACAGGAGTAGATCTCACATTTTCTTTGCCACCAAAGACCGTGAGTAAGAGGTAGAGCTTAAGATGATTTTTTTTTCTCCTTTCAGCATCATCTCTCCAAAGCACAGTCAGAGTCTGATTTAACCTGATAATAAGGGCAGTGGCAGCTAGTGACTTCATCAGTGCGCAAAGAGGAACACTGCTGAAAAATACAGCAGCCATCCTTTGTTCTCTCTGATCCTCAACAGCAGCTCAGACAGTTGGAAGATAATTAAAACTTAAACAGTGCCGAAGAAGGCAGCTATGCAACAGATTGGCCATTTCTGAGGAGGATGAATGCTGTCCACATGAGCCCTCATGTAACCGTCTGTTTCTAATATTCTCGTCCCTTCCCTGTGTTGGTTGTCTTCTTGTCACTCACAGAGACTGGAACCCGTACACGGTTCACAACAGGATGTTTCAAGGCAGAAGTTTCCAGGAGCTATAATATTGTGGGTGAATGGAGATTCTGTCTTCTTTAATGAAATGAAATCTAAAACCTCCAAGGAGAGCATTCTAAAATTGAAAGGCACTACAGAGTTTTGAAGAGTGAGCTTTCGAGTCTAACAGAACCAGGTCTGTCACCCAGCCCTGTCACTTAATTAGCTCTGTCACTGTGGACCAAAAAAAAAAAAAAAAAAAAGCCTTAAATCTTTTGAACCTCAGTTTTCTTCTCTCTAAAATGAGGTCAATAACACAATCCTTATAAGATATTTAAATGAGATAAGAATTTAAAGTGTTTAATGCAGTGCTTGGCAGAAGAGGATATGATTAAACAGAAATTCAAGGAGGAGGTCACTGGATGCAAAATTTCTTGGTTTGGGCTTCGAGAATCCTGGTTGTCTGGAAGACTATTCCTAACTGTAGATGTTAAAATGGTGCATTCAGGAGGAGGCAGGCCCACCCAGGGGCAGACTTTGAGAACACAGGCAGAGTCTTGTCCCTCCTCTTCAGGTACCACAGCACAGGTGTGATGGCTACAGAGGTTGGCTACATTCTGGCTGCAGATTACCTGGCTCTAAGGGATTTCCTTATTTAAACTTTTAGTCTCTAGAAAAGTCTATTTAAAATGTTCTTGGCCCGACTCAGCTATACATGAAGAAGTAAGGAAAGAATCTTTTGCCCATATTTGGTCTAGCTACCCATACCCACAGAAGTTTCTTTTTTGTGCAAACCCTAGAAGTTTGGAGTTTTAATTTTTTTTTTAATTTGGAGTTTTAATTCATTAAGAAAAATACATTAGCATTTCCTAGCAGACAGATGTCATAATACTGTGACCTAGAGGAATTCTGCTTTGAAGATGCCATCGCCTTCTCCCCCTGTTCTGGAAAGGTACAGATTCCTTGCCTTAACCTATCTTTCTGTCATTTCTTGTCAGGATGCAACCAGATTTGATTTCTAAGTCACATATGAAACATTTTTTTTAACATATTAAGGCAAGTACAGAAAAGTAGAAAGTATAGAGAATAGCAACCAGTACATTCCCACTTTAAGTCCTTTTGTATTCTCTAGTTTTTAGTTCTGGTGGACCACAAGCCTACCTGAGGTTACAGTGTTAACACTTAGCCTTTCCCTCTAGTTACAGGATCAATCAATGTCTATACTGAGCAGGTTCTACTGTAAGAATAAATTTAACTTGGTAAGAAATATTTAAATGAGCTCTCAAGAGATCAACTGAAGCCAAAATCCAGAGAATTCTACTCTTTGGTAAACAAAGTTTTATTCTCAAAGTGAATTTCATATTCTTGGGTTAAACAAAGACTCT